TAGTATGAACTATATAGAGAGCAGAAGACCCAATGTCATCAATGGCGACATTATTATTCGTGTGCATCGAGTGTCCAAAGCATAACAGACGATCAATGTTTGTCAATTGGCTGGAATTTTATAGCCTGATTGGCCCACTCCCGTTCAACTACTGCCACCACCACCATTTACACCCCATCACGGGTCATCACCGATCATCACCCTCAACACATTCATCACCTTCATCACCTTCATCACCTTCACCGGTCATCACTAGGCCAAAAATCAACAAAAGATCCGTCAGACCAACCAAGTGGGCCGGTACTCACCGCCGTTTCACCCCTGGGCTATGGGGTCTCAGCAAGTTCCTCTCCTCTTCCCCTCTCATCAGTCACAGTCAAACCTCCCAAACCCTACGCATGACCACCAGGATGGGTACTGAAGATGAAATACCCCACCCGTGGTCACCTCTGGAATCTCGAGCATTGCAGTGGATAGTGACATGCACCGATCATCCAATAGCTCATGAGCGTCCTTCACTCCCGTCCCATGGCAAGCCCACACCTGAGTCGACGTTGTTTCCTCAGCTTGTTCAAGTCGAGGCCATTGCGCCCTCAACACTGTTTGATTCATCTCCTCCGGTCAGGCAGAACCTTGGTATGGATTGGAACGATCTCAGAGCAGAGGAAGATCCCCAGCTCTGTCAACTCGTCCTGGTCCCACACGCCACTCACCCATGGATCCTCTCCCCGTCTTCCTATCCACCAGACCTTCAAGCATACTACACCATGAACCCTCGATCCAACACTGCCACCATAGAGAGGATCCTCTCCCGAGTCTTGAAGGAGAATGGCCGACTCCATGTCCAACTCACCCGTCTCCCGGCCCATCGAAATATCCTCATCCCATCCACTATCCCGACACCAGAGCGACCATCCTATTGGGCGATCAGAGTCTCCTGCTTGATCAGCCAACAGACACAGGACACCATCTGGAACTCGGTTCATGACGCATTGGATTCCGGCTGCAAGGTCAGTGTCAAGGGAAACAGACGGACCGATGCTCAATTCCAGCCATTCCATGCCGGAGTCCTCTTTCGATCTTCCCAGCTCAACCAACCATGGGTCACCAATGATCTCCTCCAAAAGCGTGGTCCAGCCTCAGCCCAACAGGTCAGACGACAGAAAATGCTCCATGTTCTCCGATCCGTCGACAAGCTCGCCAATGGACCAGTCCAACGCGTCCTAAACCACATCGACCGACTAACATGGCGCAGACACCACGCAATCAGCACCCAGTTCAGACAAGGGCTGTAGTCTGGCAAGATCTTGACCCAAGACCTGGCCACTGATGAAGTCGGCCATGTCCTACGCTTTGGACACCTTGGGACCTGTCTCTCATTCAACATGGGGACGGCTGAGAAGCTCCATCTTGACAGGGCGGATCATTGTGCCACCTACAGTACACTACTCGTGATCGGAAAGGGACCGCCAGGATTGGGATCACTATGACGGTCAAGGCCACTTGCTTCTCCCTTCCCTCGGATTCTCCGTCCCTCTGCACCCTGGTGATGTCCTCTTCTTCCAGGCCTCGGTCCTTCCGCACCTTGCAAGATCTCTTCACGGTGACAATGCTGGACGCAAACTTGCCATCACCTTGTTCAACTGTGAACCGACGTTGAGATACCTCCAAAGCTGCCACGAGGATGAATAACGAATAACCGCCCCTTTCTGCCACACTTGCATCACTGCCTAATCTGCCGGGATCAGGAGCAATCTATAGGGCCAAATCAGCCGAAGATCCCCATAGATCTCTGACATCGGATCTCATTGGATCTCATTGGATCTCATTGGATCTCATTGGATCTCATTGGATCTCATTGAATGGCCTGCACACACCATGTCATCCCCATTGAGTTCCCTGCCTTCCTCTTTTGTCACTCCACCATGGAAGCAGTCAGCACCCCTCAGCTCGAATCTGTCCTCTGCACCCTCCTCAAGCCCTCAACCGTCGCCATCTTCCTCAACACCTCCCCAGGAGGGAGCCGATGATGGGGATGATGATGGCGATCAGGACTGGTATGGATCCACGGCCAGTGATGAGTACCTCAGTGAAGAGGAGGAACCGATTGAGGAGACTTGGTCTACATCAGTGGTTTCAAGAAGGCCGACCAAGCAATAGCAAAACAAGTATTTAAGCCGCTGTAGCCAACAGCCTTCACATGGAATGAACTAACCAAGAAAGAAGAGTAGCATACCAGAATCAGTTCAACCGTCCACATAGAGTGTTTGGGCAGAAGTATCAAGTTTTCACCGATCTGTCATATACTGACCTTGTTTCTGCAGAGAAGTGACTGAGTGCATTGGGTCGTTAAAAAAGGGACAGAGAATGCATATATGAACCGGTGAATCCTGTGTGGGCAAATGAGCACCGAACCCTTTAATGTCGGAAGCGTGACTCCAGAAACGACATTCTCCCCGTACGATGCCTTCCATATCCGGACAACCGAATGTCCGCAACCAGATACGACAGCAGTCTCACTCACTCTCTGGAGAGCTGGACCTTTCAATCGTGGAATTTTGAGCAGAACGGGACCGGCCAGCGCGTTGCAAATAGGATCGAGCGAGAGCTGATATCCATGCTTAAAATTCAAGATACATTTCAAACACCGTTTGATATTCGAAATTGGTGCAGGACTGATAGCGGACGCGGATTGTTCGCCACACAGATTGTTAAAATACGATCTTCCTGACATCGAACGAGGATAGAGCACGGAAAATGCGTCGCCCCTTTCGGGCTGTAGCATTTTTCAAATGTCTCGCTGATGGGTTGAGTCAGGGGATGAACAGATTTAGTATGTTGCTAAGGTACGCGTATACGATCCTGACATGTCGCTCATCCTATAGCGCACATGACTCCGCTTACCTCCAATTTAGAAAGCGGAGTACCATGCATGCCATTGCGAAGATCTAGTCCTGGCAACATGGCATCATACATGCGGCAAAGAGCAAGCAGAGATGGTATGACTAGGACTATCAGGTGAGATCGTGCCTTCATCTTCTCGCCTAAGCTTTCTTCTAGTTTTCTCCGACTAAACTTTTCATGACGTCCAACCTAGAGACAGAGATCTCACTGGCGAAGTATCAGTACCAAGGGCACGGCAGAGCGAGTAGAATTTCCTGACCATATGCAATCTCTGCTTCATCAGTCCACTGGTGAGCTCCATGACCGACCGGACGGGAACCCTACATCGGATACGGTTGCACAATGATCCTGAAGATGGTGAATATTAGCTCAATCGCAGTTCCTCGTTTTTACTAACGAGTCAGCAATGATTACCTGTTTTGCTCTACTCCAGCATAGAGGCTCAGTCTGACAATCCATGGGAGGTTTGTCTCCTAGATGTGCAACTCAAATCATAAGGTCTGTAGGCAAGAGCACGAAGCGCCTCTCGAGTGCATTTGAGGTGTTTGGCAGGCGAGTCTACTGAGCATTTTTAGGATCTTACAGATATCGAAACCAACGATGTGTGTGATCTAGTGAGCCGGTATGAGCCATCATAAGCTTCGCAACTGCAGAACGGCTGCGACAGCTTTGATAAATGGCAAAGACCGTAAAATCCCATACTCTTAGCGATGTGAAACTGTGCCAGATCCCAGGATCGCACCTCATGGGGTGCTATGCGACCGCTCCGCCCTCTGAGCCATTAGACCGTGCCTCACTCCAAGCGAACGGCACAATGACACACATTGAAAGCAAGTGATCTGTGATCAAGCGAGAGCGGACAGTCTCGGGAACCTGATCGGGAACCTGAGGGCACGAGACGGTATACATTTCCGCGAGCACAGGGAAGCACAACTATCGGTTAGAGAAAACTCGGTTCACTAGCCAGAATTCTGGGTTAGAGAAAACTCGGTTCACTAGCCAGAAGTCTGGAACTTCCTCTCAGTTGTGCGGCCACTGCGCTGAGAACAGGAGACTTTGACTACGGGTCTAGCCAATCACCGGATACGAGGAAGCATTGAAGTCCATTGCCTCCGCGCTGCTTCCAGGTGTGGCGAGCCCACTGGCAAAACCGCGTATCCGTGCCATGCTACACTGTTGATAAAGCCAAAGTAATAACCGATGATCTGGGTTGTTCTCCGGGCTACTGTGGAAGCGTTCGATCCCAAGCGCTTTGCCATGGTATATCCTGGCGCCAGGCAGGCTTACGTCGAAGAAATGCACATGAAGCACACCGTTCTGGGGCTATCAGCGCAGACCTTCCTCTTTCTACAGGGGAAGGTCCAAGTGCGAGCAAGTGCAAACAAGGCTTACCTTAGCGTAAAATGATACCTCCAGACGATCAAACGCTCGGTGAAGAGCTTCCTCGAGCAACAAGCCGGATGAAGGATGGAAAATTGGAGGCGCTCGGGCAGTGTCTAGAATGATACGATACAGCTATGTGACCCCGGCCCCTTAGACACGGAATAAAGTCAAGTCGTAGAACTCACGTCTTCCCGGCTTTGAATAACGATATGACAGGCTGTACAGGACTCGAAATTGACATCGGATATCAGACCTTGCGAATCTCGAACACCAACGGCGATACGGAAACGGTTCTGACATCTCAGCCCGATTACGATAAGCACGTACCTGATTGACCGAACACCTGCTTTTAGATCTTGACCGCGTAGACTGGCCAGCATCCAAGACGGGTGCAAGTCCCTTTCTGAAGTATTCCGGTCCTCTAACAAATCTAATATCCAATGAGGAATCTGCAGTGCGAACGGACTCAACGAGGTGAATCAATTTTCTCAGCGGTGGGATGACCTACCAGAAGTGCTGTAGACGTATGTAGCCGCAGTCGAAGTATCTCCCCTGCAGACGACACCCTCTTCTCTGTCTGTGACAGTCAAAGGACCCGCTTCGTCACGCTCCACTATTAGTGATAGCACATCCAACATATAATCCCAAGGGTCCACACCATAACGCTCAAGAAACTGCAAAGGGAATTCCGCAATGTACTGCCTCGAACCGGATATCCATCTGATCAGTTAGCTTGATCTCCAAGAGTCTTGGGCCGTCGTATAGGTGGCCATGGGCAGAAATGAGAATACTAGAGTGGTGTCAGATGGTACTGGAAGGAGGGGGTGATTGCAGATCTGCGGGACCTTTTATTCCGAATCCAAGCTAATTGATTTCATTTTCTCCTGGACACATCAAGTTTCGGCTAGTTAAACGACTAGAGAGCTGACCTTTTGTGTTGACGCTGTGAGCGAGAAAATATTCGAAGAGTCCGGCCGTGAGAATTGGATTGCATTTGTTCATATATATTACTCAGGTGTCAATCGTCATATATACAGCAGGGACCGGTACATATACTTCAAGCGGATCCTTTATAGTGATACTGACAGCCCGTGTGTCTAGACGCATGGCGGCAGCGTCGGTTTCCCTCTCGGGGAGTCGGGAAAAAACTCTGAGACCTGTTCTCAACGCTCAAGAATCTGGATTGGAACACGGGGCCCTCATCTTCGACGTTCGAACCTGACTCGACCGGAGCTGAATAGGGAGCTCTGGGGCCGGGGAATTGTACTGGGAAGTCGTTAGTGCTCAACATTTGGTGCCTCTCGAGGAGAGTTGAGAGCTTGTGACCTGAGCTCTATCCTTACAATGTTGATTCCACTGAGAGATCGAACCGGATCCATGTCAGGGACATAAGTCAAGGACTCCTGCCCATAGTCATCAGCAATTTGGCACCTCCAAGCACCGCCGACACACCAGGGACGCAGGTTCGAGCCTTGGGGTTCTGTCCTGCCTGGCGTCGGCGGAGTATGGAGAAATCTGGACAGCTTGAGCTTGGTAGCGGCCTTTAGATGTTGCGACTGACGTCTTCCTCAAATGACAATGAATCACGTCGCCCCATCTCTATGGAGTCGTCCATGAATCGATCATTAGCTATCTTGATCAGCAAGACAGACTTGCAAACCGCCATATTTACTTACCACCACTTGATCCTCTCCGGGTGCGGTATCAAAGTCCAAAGGCATCATTCCTGAGTCTTCCGTCCCTGGTAGTAGTGGAGGAGCTCCAAGTCCACCGCTTGAGGATGGTCCCTCTCCAGGTGCAATCTGTTGTTCCTCCCGCTCATCCATATACCCGAGCTTGACTCGCACTGCATCTGCCAAGGTTGCTGGAGAAGGTTGATGCAGCATTGTGCGGATGGCCATTTCGACTTCTGAACGGTTGATTGGCCAAAGTGACATAGGAAGGGTCCTGCAAACGTGGAACGAGGTCGGGCTAGGATAGTCAGCATATGGATGGGAACCACTTGAAGCACACAGCCACACTCACTGCGAGTCCCGCGACACCAAAGTCAGCCCTAGTTCGTACTTCATCCACCTCGACACTTCCCCGTCGGGATCCAACTCCGACTCCAAGAACCAATCTCCGATGCCTCTTCGCGTGACTTCGTCACGATCCAGATGATCGGCACAGAGGGCTGCCCAGAACCCAACGTTCTCAGGTCCTGTAGGAGATACGCGGTGATCATAGGTGTTGTGTGGTGACCAGGATGGCCTATCAGACACTGGTATGTCATCAACGATACGATCGAACAGAGAGACGAGAGGATGATCTGGTGGTAGTGAGCTTATGAATGCGGGGAAGGGTGCGGACCAAGTTGAACAACGAGGAGCTGGCATATTGCATAGTCCAGGTCGATATATGTAGATGTAGAAGAGAAATAGAGAGCCGAAGGGAAAACCTTATCCGGTGTCGCCGGTAAAACCATGTGGTCATCCCTTATTCGATGTTACCGAAAAGACTTGGTCCTCCTCCGGCCATCTTCCTCATCTAGCTCAAGCCTTAGATACCATTCTCGTATACCAACATGCCACCTCGCTCTCGCTCTCAGTCTGCTGGACCTTGAAATGTCAGGACCAAACAAGCTTCTAGAAGTCAGACTCATGACGAGGGTGAGTTTGTCCTTATCATCAGCGTCACACGCAGACGTCAAACTTCCTCTTAGACCCAAACAACTACAAGGTCATCGACATATTTGAGGGCGAAGATGAGGATGAAACGATGCCAGTAACCGTGATGAAGACTTTACCTCAGAACACCAAAGAGTCGTCGGCAGGAGCATCGAAATCGAGGGAAGGCTCGGTGCTCTCCAATGACCCAAAGCCTGCACGGAAGAAGCAAAGGACAGCTGTCAAGAGTAAGGTAGACAACATTGTGGGTACAGATGGGGTTCCATCATACCTATGTTATCTAGCGTGCAGTAGTCGAGAGAAACCCCGACAATTATCGGAAGCTCGAGCCCAAGGACGCGTGTTCAACGTGTGGAGACCGATACGAGTGTCATATCTTTGTTCCCGCAACGAGCAGCAAGATATCATGTGTTGGGTGTGGTGGGCAGGCAAGCTGCTCCCTCCAGACAAACGCGACCAGGGGAGTGATTATTGGGCTGTCCCACTTTCAAAAGGCGTTGACTGCATTGGAAGCTTTGGAGAAGGAGTTGGAAGAGGCCAAGGACGATGACGACGACGGCGACAAGGATGAGAGGATGGACACCGACGACTTGCAAATGATCACTGAAATGATCAAGAATTACAAGGCTTGGCTGAAGGCATACACATCTGATTGATGGTGAGATCTCTACCTTTTTCACCTCCGATTGACCGTCTTAGACGGCCGGCCCGTCGACTTCTCTCACGACCGTCGCTAGGATATGTACATGTCCCCTCATCTCCTAACCAATGTCCACCACCTCCACTTATTCTCTCGGCCTGATTTGCTTAGCCTGATCTGGAAAACAAATTCTCAGTGACGGGCATGGCTGACTGCCTGACAGCGATAGAGGAATCTTAGATGGAGGGAAACTCGTGACTGAGATCAGCCATTCATCGGCTTCCTGGGCCAAAATGGCTACACCAAGAAGCGATTGACGCTTGCGAAGGAATTCGTTGGATGAGGAGGCCAGGCTTGGGGTCGCCTCAGGTTGGGGCACAGGCGAGTTCTGGCTGGTATTGGCGATTTGGAGCGTTATTGGCGATTTGGAGCCTTGTGGACTCAAGTTCTAACGGGGGATGACTCCTGTTATAGGGTATTATCTCTTGATGAACCAAGCTCTTTATCTGGTGACCACCAGCATGACAGTTTAGTCTCCGACTGCAAAATGCGTGGATATCATTCTGCGCATCAAGGAGTGACTCCAGAGGCGGCCTGGCAATGAGATAAGAGACAGTACATATGGCGTACAGTGTGACGCCAATGACGAGCATGTTGTTCCGGAGAACATTCGTGAGGTAAGGTAGGCAAGAGCCTTGCATTCTTAGAAGCGAAGCTTGGACGACAAAATCCTGTACATGAGGGCCCCGAAGCCGTGGCTGTTTGTAATTTCAATGTCCCCAAGTTCGCAACTTGTCAAAGTTTGCAACTTTATTGCGATACACTTTTCGGAATGTTCGCTAGTTTTCCTCTCACCAAGTCACCAACATGTCCCCTCTTCGACTTACACGACCCCTTGGTGTTTTCATTTGACCCCACCCACTGTCTCAAGGAGGCGATAGTAGAGTCAAGGATGCATTCTGCAAGGCAGAGCAGTCGTTCAACTTGACAAACCAAGCATCCAAAGGACTGACCAAAACACCTGGCAAGTTTATCTGCTGTTCCCGCCTCAGGTCTTGACAACGGTAGACAAATTCTTCTCGGTTGATGTTTCAGACGATCTTGTGGGACGCTGCGTAGAGAAGGTATTGAATCCGTTCGATCGTCGTAAGCTGCGCATTGGCTTTCAGAGCTGATCGCCTGTAGCATCCTCGCTGAGTGTCTTGTACGCCTATGGTATATCTGGCTCCGATAAAACGTACTTCGTCCAAGGTGCCTGTCGAAACTGGGTCGCGTACATTGCCAAGGAGCTGGGAACCAAGTTTCAAGAGATCGGGATTGGAGCAGTAGAGATCAGCAAGGCTAGCAAAAGCGGCACGAAAAACCTCCCTGCTGATCTGCTTGCACAACATCCCCGGGCTGTATGAACCCTTCAGCAATGTATAATCTCATCCTCCGGGGAAATGGGCGGTTATGCGACGGTCGCTATACACCGCGGAGACCTAGACGCAGTACTGCATCTTGTCGCAGGGCGTAGGCAGACAAGGGGCACGGATAGGAACGACGCAAGCTCGAGGTCCCATTGTGTGCTTTTGTTGGTGAGTTGAATTCATTCGAGTCCAGTCGATCGTCTCCATCGAGTCGTACGGAAGACTTCAAAGCTGCAATCGCAATCATTTGCAAACTGACCGGTCTATAAGTCTACCAAAGTCCATCGGGTGACTGCAGGACTTGATGTACCTATAGATGGCCCAAGAAGGATTATTGTCGGTGAGCTGGTCTCCACCGCTGACCCGCTGATAACCGATAGACCTCGCTGGGTCGGAGCGCATGGGAGACACCGACAGGGATGCAGAGACCATTTGGATCAACGAAAGGTGAGTTAAGGATTAGTTTACTCTGACCTTTCAGCCTGGGTTCACTTGGCTCCTTTTTCCGGGACCTGGCGGAGACTGGGATGACTACAAAGAAACGTGAAAGCGAGTTGTAAGTCAGGATGGTCCGGTTAGCAGTGCTCATGCCTGTAGGACTATGCTCACTCACTATTGTATTTTGGCGTCTGCTCGCCTCTGTGTCATGGTCACCTGTCGATTCACCTCTGCCTCTCAAACTGGACACCTTGTGCAGGTCAAAGACTGGGAGAGGAAAACCGAGAGTCTTAACAAGGCAGCGTTTCATTTTGCTATCAATTGCAAGAAAGCAGTGCCACCTCCGCCAACTACAGATGAGCAGGATCTGCGGGATGAAGAGCAAATTGACGGGATGGTACCAAGTGATGACATCTGGGTAAGCAACCTCTCGCCCAACGAGCACAGATCGCTCACTTGCAACGTAGACCCTGCAAGCACGAATCGATGCCATGACCCGGACGATTGAGGCAAACGCATCTCAGCTCGATGAGTGTCTCTCCTCGTGCTCTTATTGTTTGCAGACTCCAAATACTTGCTAATGTCTAATTTAGCTCAACACGATACCGATGCCCGTCGCGAGGCGGTAAAGCTGGCCAATGTTTGCGACGAGTTGGCGGCCGCCCGAAAGGCCTTGGAAGCTCAAAATTTGGCCGAGGCTCAACATTTCTTTGGGAACACTCAAAGTCGGTTGATAAAGAGGCCAGCGTTAGCTGACGCATCGCAGTCCAAGAGGCAGTAAACAGGGCACGAGATCTGCAGCGCGAGCTTGATGCTATGAGTGCGGATTTGACTCTGGGTAGGTGCTCCGTGACAGTCGTTTTGCTCACGTCGATAGCGCAGCACGCAGAAAATACTAGATCCAAAGACGCCGAAAAGTTATTGGTCGAGGCAAGTCTCGCTTGCGGATGTGAGGTGAGCTCAACGCCGTTGAGTTACGAAAATCGAGGGAAGAGGTCAAGGCCGCCGAGAAATTGGCTCGTCACGCACAAGCTCATGTCCAGGAGCTGAAAGTAGCGAATCAACGTTTTCAAGAAGCGGCCAAGAAAGTGAGTGTGCCTGCGTTGCAAGGATATGACTGAGCCGTGCAGACGCGCCATCTTCAGCCTGAGTGCAAATGGAAAGGGGATATACAAAAGGTTATTACCGACGCCCACCGCCAGTCCCAGTTGAAGGCGCGTGTGCACCGCAAGTGAATTGTGTAGGTGAAAACCATATCCAAGCATGCACTCGTTTCGACCGAGATGAAGCGGCCGAATGGATGCGCCGCAGATCGAAGTGGCCGTGGACGATATCACTGTGAATGACTCAGCTGTAGGCCACGCGCCCCCAGTCGCTCCGACAACCAATTGGCTCTGATTGACAGGCGTATTCATCTCCTCATCAGGCTAATCCTCTAGCAGCAATAAGTTGCCGCGTAGGCTGAAGCTCCAAGGATGAATTTCGTTTCCAAATGCTTTGGGCCTGGATTTTTTGGACGACCCTGCTAGGTCGGCATATACATTGCTCTGTGCCACACAGCATTGCGGATGCTTGAAGGTCTTACTCACCCTGATTGTCAATGACCTCCTAGGAAGGGATTGAAAATTCCTCGACCAAGTCATCGATAATGGGATGATTGGTCACAAACGTTCCTTGACTCAGTCCTCTGAGCACCTGGCTTCCACGTAGAGGACCCATCGCCGACTCACTTCAAAAATCATTGCGTAGCAATTATGGCCAACGGTCATGCTGCGCGCTCTTTGCGGTCGGTCGGAAATAGAGCCAACCTGGCAACCTGGCCATATCAGGAGACGTCCGCCTACCAGTAGACAGTATGGGAGACCAGCAAATGGCGGGGCATGTGTGTCATTACCAGAAACTTCAGGTGCTCTAACGCATTCTGAAGGAGATTCTCCTTGGACCGTTGCGAGTGTGAATCGCATTAGATGGCACATACACTGTGATGGTCTGTGCTGCGCTGCCCGGGTGAGGCGGCAAGGAGTTCGAGAAACCCAGCATGAAGCGTTATGGCCCGATCACCCAAAATGAAGACCTAATCGTCAGGGCAAGTGGGCCAGGGTGTCTGACCAATTGTCCGTCACTTTTACGCATACGCCAGATTTTCCCACTTGTTAAACAGAGCGGAGTTATGATCAGCAGCTTTGGGATGCATTGAGGAATAGCCAACTCGGGCATCTCGTCGTACCCTACGGGCAAAACGTTGCTCTTTGCTGCAAACTGACCGAGAGAAGGGAGCCTCTGAGACCATCATCCGCAAGGAAAACTCAACAGTTCGAAGCAACCAGATTCGGAAACCTTGATAAACCTTGGTACAAAGAGATGTGTGAGCGCACTTTATGGATCAGCTTCCAACACATACCTGCACTTTCCTCCATGATCTAGGGGCTTGCGCTGAATTTTGTGGAGAGTAGATTCTGACTGGCTCAGAGCCTCATCGCCCATCCCACAGAGTTAAGACGGGGGAGGCTGTCTATACTGCGTGGAGATCTGCACACTGACCCACATTGACGATCAATCGATCAATCCATGAGATGGTGTGCAGGACGCAGTGAACCCGACTACCTTTTCAGAACGGCAGCTACTTGACTCTCACATAACGATACGGATGTTGATGGCAGCTACTGTATATAAATTCTGATACTCCGGGCGTCTCAAACGGACTGTTTGATCCTCATATGTTCAATGATCCCAGGTCTAAGCGGTGGACCATGGAGCAGACATAACTGTCTCTTCTTCACTCATCTCGGTGCCGATCGCTAAGTCAATTGAGCACTCAGCGACCTTCAAGCCCATTACGGATTTCTAGAATGGGATTTGATCCAAGCCCGTCTAATCGAGAATTATCAAGTGTAATGTCGAAGTCCACTCTTCCGGTCAAGCTAACATGCTTGTCAGGTTGCGGGCTGTTTCAAGGGTGAGCATCGAACCTCTTCTATCTGCAAATAAGATGCTTGCCCGAGTATTGTATCTCAAGGTGTCACCGACCTTTGTCCGTACGCAAGCGACACTGCCTGATAGGATATGTAATAGTTTCGAGATGACTACTGAACATCTCTTACAGTTTCGATCAAATTTCATCCGGTGAGAAGCCCTGCTGCTGAACGTCAAGATTCCAGTCGTTAGGTATTCATAACTCATGTATTGTCAGATAAAGGCACAGAGGCACAGTGAGTGCTATCCCAGACTTCTGATTTGGTGAACATGTTGGACCCATTGTGGTGCACGTACAGTGATAGGACTCTACGGGGACGACCAAGTAGTCTAATATCAACCTAGGGGACTCTTGAACTCCCCCTCGGACTGCTGGCTCTTCGGTCTTGCAGCTGGGGCACAGCTAGCAGCCTTGGGGTGATTTCAAAATAAATCGCGGATGTCGTCCCTATTTCAAAGTAAGAACAAGCTGGAACTTCTAAGGATCATCTCGGGCGGTAGCCGTGGTCCACAAAGGCACGCGAGACTGTTCTCGTATTCTATCGCGAGTATGTGTTGAAGAAGCACGATCAATCAAAGCAAAGGCAAGAGGGAGGAGCACTCTTAGCTCGGCGTAGGAACCGACGTCCGCTCCGACGGAAACGGGAACCGTCCCAAAGACGTACACGAGCCCCCAACGTCATCTAAATCGTGACCATGTTCCTGGAGCTCTTGGGACACTTTTGGTCAGATCCAATGACGGCCTTTTGCTGAGGTCATTAAGTCATCGGTCTATGAACTGATCATGGTAGGCGTTACTGCGCGGCATGCCTTCGAGTATCAGGACCACAAAACCGACACCTCACAGGGGACTGGCGGGGTTAGGAGGAACTGAGCGGGGTCGTGCGGGATCGTGCGGGGTGATTTCGGGATAAAGTAGCTTACAGAGCGGGGTTCGCTGTCCGATGTTGCGGGGTACAACCTGATGATATTTCAAAAAGAGTTGGAGGCTGGTCTTCAGGCAGTATACTGAGCTAGACAACGGTGAATTGCCTACCCTCTCTTGCTCTGACCACAAGCTGCATTCTGAAATTGGGGTGACGAAAGGGAGATTCGCTTCGCTCTATGCCGCCATACCGAACACCGTGGCCGCAGAACACATGCAGTTGTTTGATTCTGACCGTTTATGTCCATGACCATGGCTTTTCGTATCTTTGGCACAGCCGTCAAGGTCCAGCATAGCCTACAGCCTACCTTGGCTGCCATAATCTGACGTTCTTGATTTGAGGGCATGGTATCTTCCGATGCCGAAACTCGCTCGGGGTGGCTTATGGCCGCGAATCTCACAACGGACTGACATATCAAGGATCCACTTCTTTCTTGAGGCAACATGTCTCTTGCAGCCCGATACGAAGCATTGTGATGTCCACTGATCTTGGGGGGCTCGGCTGAAATCCGTCATGGGAGATCAGCCGTAGTCCAAGCCAACCCAGCTCTCAATCTACTTCAGGATACGAACATGTATCAGAGTACCATCAACAAGGCATTGGAGGCGACTCCATCGGAACTTCACACGCCAGCATGAGGAAGTTGTCTGACCTCAGAATCATGAACTTCCGAGTCTTCCTCGGAACCTATGAAGGGTCTTCAAATCAGCATTCTCTTCGATGGATTTCAAGTAGCGTGCCAAATTTGACAGACGGTTTCAATTTTCGACGCTCGCGCCTCGGACTGTACTGGATATGGACTGGCAGCCAAGCTATATGCATTCAAAAGCGATGTTATCTAATTCCAGTACTTTGCGAGTCGATCCAGCGATATTGCAAAGGCTGCTCAGTCGATAAGATCAAACGTAAGAAGCTCTATGTACCGTACAGCCGGACCCGCCTCCCCACGCTACGGTCCACGGTCAAACGTGAAACGTCCGCATTTCTGTCTCGTGGTCTTAACGAGGGGATCGGCGTATGTCAATGACCGAGTGAAGAATAATCCACATGTATGGCGGAGAGATTCAACAGAGTGCCGCAGATTTTGCACAGCTTGGTATGTGGGCGATATGCACATTGACGAGGCGAGATGTCCATCTCGGCCAGGATGATTCAGCCAAGGGGATTGCGGGCCGCTCCTGAAAGCTCAGTGTCGACCAACCAGTTGGGGGTCACTCGTCGTCTCCGGCGGTTGTGAGCTGGCCTAGGTTCTACAGCGAGCTCAACATCGCATTCGGGTTCAGGACCAGGAGTGGGATATGTGATGACGATGGATGGTCCGACCTCGGGCGTGGACGGTCGTTCAACTGTGAGCTCTCCACCGATGACAGAATGTGAGGTGGCATCTTCCGAGGATGGAGCAGAGGGGGCCAATAAGCCGTTTCGAGGCGCGATGCGGCTTTCAGTGGTGTTTCTGTGTTCTTCGGCAATGTCGGAGTCTATTCTGTGTCAACCGCGACCGCTCATGGAGCATTCATGCTAACCTCACCTCCATGGGTGGCTTGCGATGTGTACTCAGTTCCAATATTTGCCGATCGATTCTGATCCCCTTGTCCCTCGATCGTTCCGAGAATTGCAGGAGAGGACATGACCCTAACATTCCTGATATATCGTACGATAGGCTTGAATCTTCGTGGGGCCCCCGAGAGAGATGCTGGGCGGATTTGAGCCCCAGCCCGTCCGAGCAAATACGGGCGAAGGGCGGCCGACCTTCTCTGTATATCATTGTCAGCCGTATTTTGGCCTAAGCCTCGAGCGTCAAGCTCGCGCTTGATGCTGGCGCCTAGCGGAGTGGACGTGAAGTCGACGATGAGGCGCGGAGCTGTGTCAGGAGTGCTGTTTGCATCATGGGTAATATGTGTGCGGCGTGGAGGAGTGATGGGGCCACTGGGAGTCATAAGACTGGTAGTCGATGAAGGACGAATGAAAGTGGGGAGCTCGTGCATCGGTAGCGGTGTATCTTCGATTCCGGACACCATTACTGGCAAGATCGCAGAGGCGTCAAAGCCATCGACACTGTCTGAGGTGATTGGTGCTCTGTCCGAAGCACCGATTGCAGCATCTTGGCGAGTTTCGCTCGGAAGAGATGGGAGGGGCTTGTTGACCGGAGCATATGCGAGCGGTGAGATCGATGGTGTGGGCTCTCTGTTGGGCCCTGCATCTGTTTCGAGCAGGCTTTCATCATCATAGGCGACATGTACCCATGATCGGTTCAGCGTGGTGTCTAGCGACGAGTCCATTTTGTGAATGAGAGCGTAGAGGAGAATGGTCTTGCGACAAAACTCTCAAGACTGCGACCACGAAAATTTTCCAAACAATTAAATCTCTCGTCATCATATTAAATGTCATTCCGACGGAATTGTATAAAAATGAGAGATTCAGCGAGTTGGCGGAGGCCGCCGCGAGCGTCACAAGAAAAATGTCGTGCGACAAAGTTCGCGCGACGCATTCAGCTCACGTAAGCGTCCCCCTTCCCCCCAAAAAATTTTCCTCCTATCTTTTTCATCCGTCTTCAGACATTTATCTCCTCACGACATCATCATCACCTGAACCGTTCCCATCTCCGTCATGCCTCTCAAGACTGATCTTCGCTTCTCACTCCTTCTTATCTTGACTCGCCTTGAGGACGGATCACCTCAGTCCAATGTAGTCCCAGACTCTCTGGATGAAACGACTATTCCCGAAATCGTCAGCAAGATCGATTGGGCCCTCGTTCTTGACCCATTGGAGAATTACATTGATGAGGCTGCTGAATTGGTAGGTGATACGACACCTCCGAATTTGACTGACGATCCGCGCAGATCACCAGCTGTATTTACTTCGAGCCTACCGAGCTGGCCGGCGCGATCAGCACGGTGAGCCTTGAGCTTCCAATCAGAGATTCATCGTTGTCTTGCCCGCTCCACTCCCACACGTCATAAATCATTCTACGTGCTCGACACCCGGAGCCTGAGGAGCTGTCCGTCTGATAGATCTTCGCTGACCACCTTGGGTAGGCTGTAGGTGCTGTCTACAGAAGTCCCATCGGCTCCTCCAGCCATGCATCTTTCCAGGACGACATGGTAGTACTCCTTCTCGGCACCAATGCCCAAGGGGTCACAGTACTATCTGCACTGGTGCGTGAAGCTACGTTCATCTCTCGATCCTATGGTTTCCCTCCATCATAAGCCTATCAACGATGTCCATTCCGCAGCCTGTCTTGTTTCCGAAATCGCTTCGACTATCTCAGTCTCGTCCTGGCAACCTTGCCCCGCGTTTCTGCTTCGAGCTGACTCTCCGCAGGTCAATCACATCTCGCAATTCCGACGACTACGTCCTCATGCCGCCTCGATCGAACCGCTCATGGATATCTGGTTATCCAAGGCACAAAAGGCAAAGGGTCCTACCCTGAGCCATACCAGCGTTCCTGGGATGGTAAAGCCTGTGGTCGGGGTCTCACGTACCGATGCCGATCACTCGACGCACCCGCCCTCGATACTGGCTTCACAAGGCCTTCACACAGCATCTGCCCCCATCCGAATGCCATCAAATCCACATGTCGGAGCGGTAGAACTGGAGGGAATTTCGGCTCCGGGTGCTCCGAGCGCGAGCCGATCTCGTGACACGACGCCCCCAGTACATAGTTCCACACCGAAAGCGCCAAGAAGCATTCATTCGTCATCTGCGAGCGAGCACGGGACCATAATTCCCGAGAGCTCGGCTAGATCACATGGCATCGTGGGTGGATATACACCGAGAGCTTGGGCCCGTTGCTGACACCTCGCGGCAAGGATCCAATTGGCGACCTGCATTCTACATACAAGAACTCGTCAAGTCCAATCAAACTCCCCGCGATGCCTGCTTCTCGATCTTCGCAGATCCAGGACGCCCTTCCCACAGTATCTGCCGCCGCTTTCGTCTCCGGTCCCTCCTCGTCCGGCCCCTCCTCGAGCACCTCACGATTGCCGCCGCCTTTGTCTGGCACCTCTTTCAATCGTGACAAAGCCAAAAGGCCTCGCCCGGCGAGTTCACATTGGCTTCCCAGGGTTCCACCATCGGTCATTGCATCATCACATGACGAGATGGGCTCAGAGCTTCTAGAAGCAACGCCTACCGAAGGTGAATCAGGTGGAATGCCTGCAGAGATAGGTTCGGTACCCGCAGAGATCGCTCCAGTGGCTACCATAGCTGCAATGTCATCTTCCGTGTCGCTTGGGAAGCGGCCTCGACATGCGGACACACCTGGTCCGGATGTTGACGAAACCCGAGGAACGGATGTAAAAATCAGCACATGGGCCACCGGCATGGTCAGTCTCCTCAACCAGCTATCGGCTAACAAAGATTCAGGCGAAGTCCACGGCAGATCGCAACACGAAATATCGCGGGAATCTTGAAAGTCGAAGACAGCCAGTGAGTCAACACACCAGGGCCGGCGCTGGCTCAGTTTTGTGACCCAATTTTCCCACCAATGGGCGGCCTGGCTAAATACCATGAGCCAAACTCCCGCCAGGGAGCTTGGAAACGGACAAAGCTCCATTCGCTTCCGATGCTGATTGCTCTACAGATCATCGATTTAGTTCTTGCAGTCCCGGCCTGTATCCCACTGCTGGAACGAGCAGATGCAGATCCTGGAGCTTTGAATTTGTTGCAAAAGCTGCGGGATTGCACCACGCATCGAATGTTTAGTGAGCGCCCTCAACTTTTGCAGGCCACTGGATTTCGACTGGCGAGTTTCCGCTCACACAGTCAAATCCTGTTCAGGTCTTCCTCCCCCTTCTGATAGACATCCCGATCTCTCTTCTGCCAGCGGACTCGCCATGTTGTTCTACGAGCTTGACAGGGCTGTGGGCAAAGCGTGCGGCATTCCCACGGCTGACGGTGACATCAGCAGCGCACACCCTAGTGATCCATAGTTTATGTTAGGCAGTCTCTTGGTCTGCACGCTGAAGGCTGTGCAGCCTAGCGTCTCTTTTGTGTTCAAGGCAAAGGGCTATTGAAAAGTGCAGCCATGACAGCAAACTGTTGGGCTTCTGTTCTCCATGTGCTGTGCGGTGTCACCGAAATCGACGGACGCTACGAGGATCGCAGACTTCCGGCTTATTGCGTTGTCAAATGGAGTTTCTTTTCGTTGTTGGACTTGCTGTAGTGTATGGCATTTTGGGTAGACAAGCTGCTGGATTTGCCGTAGTGCATGACATTTTGGGTATGCCGGGCGTCGAGAAAGGTCCTGGCCCAGCTGCTTGGAGTTATGAACAAGACCAGCATGCAGTATGATTGAAAATATCTCGAGCCAGGGTACACCGAGAACAAGCCAACATACGGCAATCTGAATACTTTGCCCACTTAATCTGCCAGCCCCGTGGTCTCATCGGATGATCGCTCGTGCAAAGCGAATTCACCCGCAAAAGCCAGCTCCGCAGGCATCTTGCGAATTGCCTGGCTGAATGTCTCGTTTGCATAACTGCGGTCACTCCCATTTCCTCACATACGGACTCGAGGGAGAGTCCTGTACCGTGCGGGCAGTTCGAGCAGGGCATGAGCTTGAGTGGGCGGAAGCTTGATGATATGATATCCAGCCTCATGAATCAAACTCATCTCTAGCCATTTCGACGACAATTCAGCATGGGCGAATTTATTGCACAGAGCGGTTGCGCGGTGCTAAGACATTTGCTAAGACGAGATGATGCGGAAAAAAGACAGCATCAGCAAGAGCTGATAGAGGTCCCCGAGCATGATTCTTTCGGATGCGTCTATGGCACCTGCGAAGTATCCCCACTGCTGGTGTATCGAGCACAGAAGGTGTTATACTCTGGCCGCCATCGATCGGATGTTCAGTACACCCTGATATGCTGTAACAGGGGACGCTTCTAGCGTCTTCGTATACTACTCGAGTATTACATATGCCGTTTTTCAGTGGCTCGTATATATATCTGATGATAGCAAAGGTCGTGAGGGAGAATGGTCTCCCGAATAATGATCAAGTACAAACAGGTCGAGGCCAGTAATGGCACCTACCTCGGGACTGGGCATACGTATGTCCTCGGTGAGTGTGTGCAACCGCAACTCTGCCTGGCCGTCACTGAGACAAAAGCACACAGGATGGGTAGCCTGAGCTTGAAGACCTGATCAGCTAAGTAGATGGTCTTACAGCACGTTTGACTGGCAATGAGGATTTCTAAGAAACATATGACCTTACGAATGAACTGCGATGCCGAGCGGAGAGACAAACCCCAATGTTGAGACTTTCACCCTGACAATAAAAATGCCAGAAGAAAGGAAGGTTCGCCTCGCACCAATCAGCAAACGACGTCTGCCCTGCTACCCAAAGTGGCTCAGAAGGTCAGGAGTCATCTGGCTTGATCAAGTTACACATAGTTTATGGTGCAGAATTTCAGTTATAAATTATCACTCGTAGAATAGACAGCAGGTCGACGCCTTCCCAAAATTGACGTGGTAGATCTGGCAAATGCCAGCGGCCTATCGCTATCAATATGAGGTCGTTCTATTGCCGTGTCAAGACATCCAATGTCAGCATGCACAGATGCCGCATCTAGGCAGTGCCGATTTATGCACGCAACATGCTTGATTTTTGTTTTGCAAAAAGCGTGCCGACAACGAACGGGGTCAGAGCGGGATTTTGGCGGGGTCAGCGGGGTCAGGGGGATAATTCCGCGGGATTGCGGTTTTTGAGCGGGGTAGTGGCAGTAACCCCGAACTTATTTCTTCGCATCGAAAGCGGAGGGCGTAACAGAACCATGGTATTTCAGAGGTGGCCATTTTCGCACTGCTCCGGGGTAGTCCGGAGAAGCGCGAGATCCGAACACCCAAAATCGGACGTGCCCAAAATTTGAACATCAATGAGATGATCCTCGGGACGGCGCTATTTGGCATCAGGTCGGCCGACGTTCCTGGATGATGGGGAACTGCTCGCGGCCTCTCCATAATCTCGATACGATACAGACGGGTTTGTTACAGAATGACCGTGACTATCTACTTGGTACTTGCTTGGCTCTTCCGCGGGAGAGGGTTGAATGCACGCGGCCTTTGAGCATCCAGTACCATAACCACCTCTAGATCGATTAATGCCTAGTGATGGTAAACTGTCGAGTTCTCCAGCGCTTGTTACATGTTGACTTAGCTCCTCAATGCCGCTAGACAATTGGCAAAGCGTTTTACTGCGCTAGGCAGCTAATGCATTCTGCCTTTTGCAGTCATGCCTTTCGAGCGACAAAGCCAAGAAGTATGCTCGGGGGCCCGTTCGCGGTCTCTTCATCCTTCCCTACATGGATGCACTATCTGATTGAGTGGCACTCAGCCGATCCGCCCAATACAGGTGCACGATGTGAGAGAAGTGCTTATCCTCACCCAACACATTGTTCTCCGGCTGTATCCCTTGCGGCCATATCCCGTAAGCGTTTGTTCTTCGACAGTCTTCGAAGAATATATCAGCATGCAAAGATTGTACAGATGCCTCTCATTGTAGTCCTGGCTGCTGAACGAAAGTGATCATAAGGGAGAGCCAGAATGACGAGTGTCCGTCCTGCGAAGAAGGCCTTTACCCGGGCTGGGGGCGTGCGGTCTCTGCACACCTTCTGTCCATCGGACTGGCGGGCTGTACCAACTGATTCTGATGCTCACATGCGATTCACATGGCAAGAACAGCCATCTCGAGGATCTCTGGTTGAAGTACTACAATGATGTCCGCACGTTTTGATGCATTCAGCGTCATGGATTACTATCGATGTACTGTATGAGTGAGCCAATGTGGCAATATAGTATCTTCACGCACCATGGTCTCCGGACTTCTCTCACGACATGTTCTGTATGCAAAGATACGATTTACAGTTTATTCCCGGCAAGAAGTTGGTGGTGCGACGGGACAACAAGCCGTCTTAAGGTGAAATGCGGGGATTCCAGCTGCAACAGGGTCATAGGGTCAGGGCAGGACAGATTCCACTGATTTTCCGAGGGCAGTAAGGGATGAGCAAATGTCTGAACGTGTCTAGTCTTATGACGATCCAGGCTCTTCAGGGAGGCAGGAAAGTCGACTAGCCGTGGACAGCTGTGTTCCCAAGTTGGACCCAGTAAGACTGGCTCAAACGTCAACGACGCTTACTTGCCACACACTAGTGTATGTTGTAGTGTCCATGGCCCGACTTCAAGTAGGAGTGACAATTGCACGACCACCCGTGAAACCATCATGGAAAAACTGCGGTCATCATTAACTGAACACAAAGTCTTTAGAGGGGTGAGCTCCTAGACGACCTCTATCTACTCCTGATGCCACTCGATCTGGACCCGACCGATGAATGTCGACGGTTAAGCGTTTATCGGGATTGATCTAATGATTGGGAAACGGTCATCGTGTTCTCGGTCTGAAGGATGAATTCCATATGTGTCCATTTTATCTACAGCTGAAGTATTTGACCATCTGTTGATCCTTCAGACTTTGATCAGGCATCTAAATCGTTTCGTTGCTGGAATCCTCTAGTGCAACCTTACCTACAAGCGCAGAAGCTCTGGATCGGGTCCAGCTGAAACGAAGATATATTGAGATACATTCGAAGATGGACGATCGACCGAAGCTTCGCCGGAACGGAAGAAGAATTTGCAAGAATAATGTTGACAATAGAGCGCTGGGGGGGAGGTGACTTGTCGGGCAACCAGACCTAAAAAGCAGGCTTCCGAAGCATGTGTTGGGGATCCAACCCGTTATTTGCTTCAGCAGTAAGGGGGCTCTGCCGACACGACCAATGTGACTCTCGCGGAGAGTCTGGGGAGATTCTGTTCCAGCAGAAGACCAGCGTCACAACACGGTTTGTGATCCCGACGACCGCTCGTTTGGAATTTTACACTGACAGTCCATCTCAATCGACAAGGAGCACGAATTCATGCAATTCTACAGTATCATCAAGCATCATCTCGTCATCTCATCATGTCGTCCAGTCATAAATTAGAGTGATTCGAGACAAATGGCAGATCATCATGGACCTGCCATGAGTGATAGCGAGCCGGAGGGAAGAAAGTCAAGCGGAAAGCGCCGGTACGAATCGGCGCTACACATCGGCACTGACCTCCTTGAAGAGCTGTTCAACTCGGATCATTTCACCTTCACACATTCGTTGCCAATAATCATAGCCTTGTTCGACAGTGTCCTGAGTCACAGCCGATCCAAAATCGATGATTCGAATCGATTGAGGGTCATAGGATGTGAAAATCTCATCCAGCGACAACGGCTGAAGGTGAGACTCGGAGCGGATGGCTGAAGCCTTTGCGAGTATGTGTCGCCATTCTACATCCCCATGGAACACGCCCGCAGAGTGCAGGGCTTTATAGCGGGAGCGGATGGCTTCCCTAAGCCAAATCAGCACGCTTTCCAGGCAGTGACACAGACAGGGGAGGATGGCGGAGTGACTCAGAGTTGTAAAAGCGCGGCAAAGTCATGGGGTGGACAAAGATGTGATAAGGGCGAATCAAGAAGTAGACTCACTGGAAGCGGAGGTCTGCGGCAAAATACTTCGGTAGCACTGTGCCAGCATCTTCACACAATGTCATCCAAATGTTCCCACCACCCTTGGTCACACCGCCAAACAAGCCTGGATATAAGTTGTTGACTTTCGGTATCACGCTTCCCTGAATCGCCGTAAACTTGGGATCGGTCATGATCCTGAACTCCTGACGAACAGCGGCCTCTAGCACCTGACGCCAGGACTGGTTGGCTTCGGTCCATTGAGGCAAGTAGAGAAATTTGACAATTGCCTGAGCCGAGTCGTCGTCAATAATCGCCTCGGAGACTTCGAAAGCCGTCCAGGTAGACCCGTGAGATCGGTAAGGTCCAATCACCAAGTCTCTTGATTTGAGCGACTTGGGTCCGACGTATTGAGGCGACCTCAGATGAGGCAAATCAGAAGAGTCATACGAGGGGATGTAGGGGCCGTGCAACTGCTGGTCGACCATGTTTGGGGAATGCTCCGAAAGACGCGCCTGCACCGCAGATCTTGAGGCTGGGTCGGACAAAATCGATGATGGGACGCGAGTGCACACCGACAGTGGCCCAAGCTTGAGAGTTCTCAGCTTATTGTGGTGCGGCTGCTGAGACTACTCACCTCTGTAACATCGATCTTGGCAGGCGAGTGGACCGGGGAGGGAAGGTAGGAGGAGGCTTGCGAGACCGCACTTTCAGAAGTGCCCACCATCAAGCGACCAAACATCTTTGGCGGATCTGTACAGTCAGTCATCTTAGAATCAAGATGAGTGCTTGTGGGCAGCCTGCTCACCCATTGTGATGTCATCCAAGGCCCCTGTATCTTCAGGTGGTGTCGGAGGTAACGGTCGCTTGGCACCGACTGGGCGCTGTGGTGTTGAAAATCTGAGATCGGCTGGAGGCTGAATCTGCATCGTATTATTGGTGGCACTGGTACCCGGAGTCTGAGAGGAGCTTGAACTCTGCGCATGGCCGAGCCCCGCATTTCCTGATGAGAACCCGCTCGAGCTCGGACCGATAGCCGAGCCACCGCCTGGCCCAGATGAGAGGGTATTGCCGTAGACGATTGGAACCGCTCGAAGATCAGGCATACCCATGGTGTTCCCGTACGCGGTCTGAAAACTGCGAATCGCCCAAAGCGTTACCCCCAGTACAAATCCGACATGGCAATTCCAGAGCTTGCGACTCGACGGCATGAAGATGGTTTTCGTGAGATTGGAGGCCGTCATGCCAGGTGGGCGGCCGTTGCTCGAGGGGGAAAGGGTGAAGGCGTTCATGGTGGTTCCTGTGAAGGTATACACGATCGGCACACCCCGGCTGAAACATTCGCCAGCGAGCTGTGGAGAGTCAACTATGCCCATTTTAGAGGTCTTTCATCCGTAGCCTCACTTGCTCGCATAATTTGGATGAGATCGAGTCGAGCTGGTCCTCGACACCGTCAACGCCATAGAGAACTGCGAGGCGAAAGCCCGGAAGCGATGCCTTTGATCAGGATCAGTCACCGCCCACGATGTTTCCACTCACATAATCGGCAGCTGTCAGCGTGTCCACAAAGCCTTCAAAAATATGATCGGTCATGCGAGTTGTGGTCTTGTCCTCCGCGAGACCAATCACGACCTCCCACTTATCTGGACCGACACATTCCCATCTGTACCGTGTACCGTGCTCTCCAGCAGGGGGTGACCAGTTGATCTGTCGCACTTGAAGAACTAGTTCGTGATCGGACTTGCCCGGAGGACCCGAAGAGACCAGTCGCCAGTATACGCGAACCTGCGGATTGATCCATCGTGCCAAGAAACCGCTGATCCAGTCGTGGAGTGGACTGACGAGAGCACTCAGAGCTCCTTCGCCGGTAAGGTACTGCTCTCGGGATACGGCCCAGACTCTCCCGATGCTCGACGACCAGTCACTCAACTCCTGCAAGGCTATAGGATCGGTGAAGGTGGCGTTCAGATGAGCGAGAAGGGGCTGCAGGTTATTCCTCGCCCAATCCGCATCTCCCGACAAGTCGATCGGGTACTGAACGACATCGCTCAAGGATTCAGATATGATTGTGGAGCCACCCGTGTAAGAGGGTATATACTTTGGCCGATGCAATTTGGGGAATCGAAGGAGCAGTTCTTGTAACGATCTCGCCATAACGAGCGAGCCTTGGAATTGAGTAAACAAAGAGAAAAGTAACGCCAAGGGGGAAAAAAAAGGCTTTTCAGTAAAACAATGCCTTTATTGATGACGATATTTGACTAATCGCGTCATTTTTAATTGCCAATCCATTGAAAAGTGACGAGACAAGTAATCCTGCCAACCTGTTCCGTCGGCTTCTGAGGTCTCGCCGATTACGCCGGTCGCTCCTGCCGAAGACCTGACCATCAGATACCGCTGTTCACCGGATGGTGACTCACGGGTCAAAGCATTCCCGGTATGCTGATGCCCGTATTGACTCAATCGCTTCTCTCGATGTACCCCGCACCGATCCCGCTCATCCCGCTCTCGGATCTCGGAGTGACTCGTGGGCCTCGTGTCCGGCTGCAAGCTTGTTCTTCAGTCGAGACCGCCCTCGCCCTGGGCACGGCAAACGCAGGGGCGAGGAACGCTCGGACGCCCATCATGGTCATACTTTTCATCCTAATAGCGGTGTCCTTCTGGCAAGACAGGAGAGATTGCGTTCGTTGCTCTGTCATCGTCATTGGCTGTTGGGAGAGATTCGCGATAGTGAAGAGCGTGCAACCCGGGACTCGATACTGGTGTCCGCACTTGATTGGAGACCGGCTCATACGAGAAGAGCCTGAATAGAGAAGGGGATGCAAGATAGATCTACCTGCTGCGAAGTGATGCAACGATCCGGTCATCATCCTGTTCCCTGTGGGTTCCGTGACAACTGCCAAATCGTGTCATACTGCATCATAGAATTACCGACATGTGATTCCCGCTCAATGTAGGGGATGGGCTGGGCAAGACAGATCCCGCGAGTCCGAGTTGTCTGCACATTGGTCCTGCCGCATCTTGGGTTTTGGACGCTCTCAGCACCCAGAATCTGTTCGTTACTCACCCACCCTATGTCAACTTTCTCCAGCCTCAAAGTTCTGAGACGGTCGCAGAGACTTGTGCAAGTAAGGTCGAGCAGTGATCATTCATTGCTCTCATAAGTCAGAGACTGTGTTGCTGAAGTTGATGCAGGGCTGATTGATTTATGGTGCAGGGTTGTCACGTACCTCTCGTTATAGGTGTGTATTGACGGTTTGGTGTCAGCAGCTCATCGAGACCATAACATGTACGAAGTCAAGGGCAGCAGAGACCCATAAGGTACCATATTGCGCTGAATCAGCCGTCTAAGATTCACACAACTAGTCAGATCGGATGAGAGAGATGCAACAGACATCCATTGCTCAACGGCCTTTGTATCTGTTACCGTACTGTTAGGAGGAAAGAGATACATCGATCTCGCTTGACATGGAATACCTCTAAATACCAACATGAATTGATCCACAAACTCTATCGAGTGTGGTCCTCATTGTTCTCTCGACCTTCTCAAGACGTTTCACGGCCACCACAGAGCTCTCATCCGCCCCTTGTGACAATAGTAAGTACCGTTCGAGTCATTTTTCTCGTCGTACGCGATACATTCCTTCGTCATAATCAAGCAACATTGCCTCAAACTCCGATCCCGTCTCTCGCCCGCATACCAATGATTGTCGGAATAGACTGCTGAGGAAGCTGCTGTCCTCCTCTTACAATTTATGGGCTCCGATCGACCTTCCCTCACTAATGTCCTGAAGTGGCCGACCTTCCCTCACTAATGTCTTGAAGTGGCCCATGGCTGAGTCTTCTGAGGCTCGATCAATCCAAGCACAGCTAAGCCTATGCGACCGAGAGAATCGGGTGACTGAGATCTGTCCGCGACAAGGAGCTTCTCACATATCACACGATGCAATGCCAACGGTTGTTACGCGATTGCTCGAGATCTGTGCACACAGTCCGGCCTGCCTGCCGTTCTGCTCTTGGGGTCCCGTATTCTCGATCCCAAAATGTGCAAACTTAGTATCATGGGTTTGTGTCGGGATGATAGAAGTCCCTTGGCGGTCAAAGGCTCTGAGCGGCGTAGTGACACCATATCAGACCTGCTGCGAGTAGGCTGCGACAGTAATTACCATACGGGCAAAGAGCCATCGCTCATCTTTATTCCAAGTGGTTAGTGCGCTACCTGTCATCCAACTGCTTCAACCCGAATTCGAATCCTCGTGCAATGGGAGACCTTGTACTGTCAAGGATTGCTATGAAGCAATGCCTGCTAGACCCGGCCTGTCAGTGCTGAGCCGCGTGCACTGCTGCCTGCCTTCCAGTGTTTTACAGCCGTCATCTAGCGATTCGCGAGACGACAAAGCGTACTCCTCCCCACTTCTGACGATGTGTGGACCCATGACACATCTGCGGCCAATCCTGAGCCACGCGTGAAAGTCTCATCTTTCACTATCGCGAGATCGGCAGATGCGACGAGACGATCAAAAGGCGAAGCAAGGAGCATGCTGTCGGATGTGTCGTGGAGGTCATTTGTGCTTGGTCCCTGCAGCATCTCTTCCAGGGCTTAGCTCCCGAAGCCTGGTGGAAAGGCATGTGTCCACAACGAAGAAGCTGGCTTAAACCAAGGATCAGCACAGGTTAGGACGAGTTGTGAAGATGTGTGATGTGTGATGTGTGAATCTCAGCTCGATCATTTCACGTCAGCAACGTCCAGCTTCGAAAGGCTCGACAGATCGTGAATGATCGGGTCGAAGGAGGGCAGCGGAGAAGCTGACCTGGGAGTTGAAAGGCTCGGATGTCTAACGTGAGGTACTTGAACCAGAGACAAACTGCTGTTTGCACGGAGAAGAGACCAGAGACGAGACTCGCCGTCCACTGGGGTACGGGTGTAGAACAGTCCCCAGCTCGGACCGAGGGATTGATCCCTGCGAACAGCCTTTCACCGATGACACGGAGACACAAAGGCAGACGTCTTTCGGTCAATGTCCAATATAACTGAGCTTGTAGCTGATCCAGCAGCCTAGGAGCTTCGCAGTGGTATTTGCTTCTCCGCCCAAGACATTCGCCACGATCTGAAAGGAGTAGCCGCGAGGCATTTGTCATCTATCCTGAGCGTTAGCATAGTCCGATACGAGTCTTGGAACTGACACTAAGAAGGAGATTGATTGAAGATCGTGAGGTTCTTTGCTCACGTTTGCAAGGCCAGATATGTATTTGTTTGATGGTCCATCATTGAACGCGTTGTTTGTGAATAGAATATTTATCATTGAGACGCGCCACAGACGCGTCTTGGCGTCTTTAAAATTTCATTCACTCAGGGACACGCCACAGGGCAAGGTCGACGGCTCTTCTTCCTATTCCTTCTTTGATCAATAAGGCCCAGCTTTCTCTTCAGTCGTTCAAGCCAAGGCGTGTGAGCCTTTGTTCGTCCCTTGGTTCTCAGGGTTTTGCGCCCTTTTCATGCTGCAACGCGTCGTAGAGCGCGTAACGCCAAGACACCGGAACTCCCTCTAAAACGTCGACTGTCAGGGCACCGTTGATGATTGAAAAAATAAGCATAAATGGGCGAAGGTGACATCGCTGAACCAGTCATTGGGTCATGGGCTCTCGAAGCTTCCCGGCCGCAGAGTGCGATGCTTGTGGGTAATGCAAGCTTTTCTCAGGGCCAGAAATATCGACGACGACAACCATGGGGCAATCATGATGTAGCATTGCCCCCAATTGATGTTGCTGCCAGAGTTTTGAAAGAGGTTGATTGAATCAGGCTCTTGAGCGTGACAGTCACGTAATTTGACATTCGCTCTCCTGTGGTGGTATCGACATCTGTGCAACACGATCGTCTACATGCTGCCGCGAAGAGTGAATGCTGATGGAGCTGAAGACTATATAAAGGAGAGCTTGACGATGTAGAGGAGAGCTTGACGACATGGAGAAAAATTTGAAACGATGACGAGACCAAGATTGTTGAAGAATGCAGTCAGTATGCTCGACATTCTTTTGTCCGTTGACGTACAAGTTTGAGCTTTGACGCTCAATTATGACCATTGGTGACCGAATTGCATGTATGAGTATAATGACGACAGTTGTGGGAAGACGGATTGATGGCAAGAGATAAAAAGCGGGAGCAAATACTCGAAGTACCCACGCAGCCTGGCAACCTTTGCAAAATTTGATGCCAGAATCATTTGCAATCTGTAGACAAAAAAACAATGCTGCCAAGTCGGGATAATAATCATGTCCCGCTCTTTGTCTCGTGATCCATTCATTCTTTCTCCTGATCATACTTTCATTTGTACACCTTAAGCAACTCGGTCACATTTCAGTGGTCAACGCTCAGACACGACAGAATTCACTACTACACGGAATACTTGGTTATGGCGAAGGACAAACTCACAAATTTGACGAAAGACGTGCTTTGAATGAAAGATTATGATCTGAAAAATTACTCAGTGACCGTCACTTTTGACATTACTTTAGGCTTCCAGAATACATGAGTCTGATAAAAGATAATGCAGTCAGGTTGACTTGAATCGTTTGCAAAGACAACAAAGTCCTATAATCGCTGCTGAAATAGGGAATAGTATTTAATTCGTAAATGGAAATTTCCTCTTCCAGGAGATTAAATCATCTGATGAATTGAAAACTCCTCGCGGTCATGTCTGAAATGCAGCAATTACCTAAGGTTAGATTCAAGTGACCGTCACACATCCTGTTTCCATTTTCTGCTCCCGGGTTATGTATGTATCTGTGACGGGGAATAATACTTCGAAATGAGACATCTTACTTCTGTCCGATGAGCAGAAGTGCGGAGGTATACAAGGACTTTCAGCGACTCCAACTGTGCGAGTCCAAGTATGATGCCAAATCCTTCAAGTATGATGCCAAATCCTTCCTTCCATGCATCAGATACAGACACAAGCATTGCGAGATTAAAGGGAGATTGAAGGATGAGAATGATTCGTTAACAAGAGATTGTGGTGCGCTCTAAAGGGATCCGAATGAGAGTGATCGGGAGGAGCAGAGTTCAGGAGTATGTGCATTGTTTGCAAAAGTGAGGGAGCATAGGCCAGAAGATGATGATTTGCTATCGGGTTAATTTATCTCAAGCACTGAGTCACAAGGTTGAGCCAAAAAAGGTCAAACAAGAAACCGAAT